GACTGTGTCTTAGATTCCTTCTCTTCTAAAAGAGGATGACAGTGATGCCTTTTCATAAGGTTGCTGTAAGGATTAAATTAGATTCAAACAAAATGTTCCGAATGGCACCTAGTAAATAGCCAGTAAATATGAGCTATTCCTGTTATTATTATTTTTGCCAGTGACTTACGGATGATAGATTGTCAAGGAGCTCTTCCCTTAATCTTCATTTGCCCTATTTATAAAATGAGGAAATACTAAATGTGATTGAGTGAATATTCTATCTCTTATCATGGCAGGAAGAAGAATGGGGTACACTCCATGACCCTGAGGACGCATCCTCAACACAGATGCCTGGAGTAGGAGGCACATTTGACCAAGAAGTGGACACCAGAAGAGGGAAAGAGAGCCCCAGGAAGGCATATTTTTCTGTTGGCCGCAGGCGGAAGAGAGCGAGTCCAGATGGGTGGACACTAATGTGTGACCTTGTGGATGTGGCCAGTGGAAGGCAGCAGTGGCCAGTGGAAGGCAGCAGTGCCCTGCTCTGGCACCTCAAAACCTCAGGAATTGTGGCACACAGGACTCTGTCAACTAGCAGGTCCTCAGGGGATGCAAGAGATGCAGAGACCAAGAGACAGAGTCCATGAGAACAGGTCTTGGAACAAGGAGCTTTTGGAGAGAAAAGGGTTAGACAGATTGGTCAGTCCAGCCAGAAGCAAGCTCTATGCCCGCTTCCCAATCCCCAACACCGCCTGCCTCTCTTCCTCTGACCAGAAATGATCTTCACGATGACTCCAGTCTTCATCCCAGTGTGAGGGGCTGCAGCCTCTCCATGTAGCCTTTAGGGTCTAATTATGAGGGCACCCAAGAAGGGGTGTGCAGGGAGGTGAGAGGAAAACCACATCGGGGAGAATTAAACGAGGATCTCTCTCTCTCTCTCTCTCTCACACACACACACACACAGTAAACACACACATGCCCCTGTTTATTCTGGCAGGAGTATGAACCATAATTTGTCTAACACTGCAGCCCACACTGGGCTCACCTCGATTTGGGCCCCGGAGCAGAAAGCAGCTGGAAGGAAAACAGGGACTTTGACACCATTTGACAGTCTAGCCGGACACTGGATCATCAAGGGAATAACAAAAACCACCCAGCCCAGCCCACTGGGTCAGCTTTTCTGGGCCCTTCTCAAAACGTAGGTGATTTTAATCAGCAGACTAAGCACTGCTGCTAGGGAAAAATAATATCTTCAACAGAGGAAAAAGAAGAGAACCATGGGGAAGAGAACCATGCTGTCTAGGGGCAGAACTCGGAGTGGGGGCGGGGGGAGCACTGCACCTCCATCCTGATTGTAGAGCTCAACAAACAAAATGTCTGTGGAAATGGTGGATGGCCCAAATTCTATGGGGCCTGCAGTGGAGGACCTTTGACCTTGGAAGGTGCCAGGAAATCTATTCAGTCAGATGAAACCTCTTGTCTCGGTACTTCCTGACAGAAGGAGAACTTGTTAGAAATGGAAGGCTCATTGAGGGGGCAGAGCTACAGAGCGTCTGAAGAACATCACACTTCCATTTGTCTGCCTCAGAACATCAGATCTTCTCAATCACTCTTCTTGTCCATCCTGACAGCTTCCAATGTCTTCAACACAGCTTTGTTTGCTTGAATTGAATTCTCTCATGAAAGTCATTTAATGATCACTCTATTAAGGACACGTGAAAAAACACAAGAATCTATTTCCTGAGTTTTATTATAAAATTCTAGTCTGGAGTGGGGGCTAGACAGGGAGAGCAGGCCACAGAGGCTCTTTCTAGCCAGAGTTAGAGACCTGAATTGGGGACTTTGGAACCTTTGGTTCTCTGGGGTGATGTGAGGAATGAACTCTACAATGTTTGATCTCCTTAAAATGCTGCTGCTGATTAAAAGTGAACTCCCCACACGCATATCACACTGTGTACACAGGCCTTTAGCAGGAACTTCATCTTGGGAGAGGTCCCTGGGAGGTGAGGGTTGGGCACTGCAGACCGAGGGTCCTCCTTGCTGTTACACAGCTGGCACTTGCAGCGCAAATAGCCTTGGCATCACAGATTTTGGGCACTCCCAAAGCTGTTTGCCCTGTTGATTCCAGGTTCCCCGTGTCTGCAGGGCCTCTTGGAATCACTGTGTTTTGGAAAATACATAAAGCCGGGCACTGTCTCTTTAAGCAGTAGAGGCTGGAAGGCTCTCAGGCCACCATGACATATCCCAGCATTGGACCAGCCCCTGAATAAACTGGAAAGACGCCTGGTTTGGCTTTAGTTACAGGGAACACCACCAGGGAGCATCTCGGGGAGCCTGCTGGAAGAAGTGGGGCTTAGAGTGTGCCAGCCGCTGCTCTCCACTGCCCTGTGGGGAGGGCTGTCTTTGCAGCTCTTGCATTTGACTGCAGACAGAGTCCTTGGAGGAAGGGGTTACACTGGTTGGTCTGGTGAGTTTTATTGGCGCTGTGCGTCTGGGTGCTATGTGCTTAGGCTTTGCTGAGAGTTGCTCAATCCCCTTACCCTTGCAAGCCACACACGGAAAGGATTGCAGTGGAGACAGAGTGTTTGTGTTGGAATTCACTGGAGAGTCAGGGGTTTGTTGACATCCTTGGTTAGGAACTGGATGTAGACTCTGTCTGGGGAGGCGCGTGGGGTCCTTTGAGAGCATCTAGAAACTCCAGTGCATTAGACTGGGCAGGAGAAGGGATTCAGATGCTTTTTCTCAGGTGGGAAACAGCTCTGCCCACACATCTGCTTCAGGCAACCTGGGATTGGTGAGCAGTGTAAGGAGAAACTTCCACCTGAAGAGGAGCCTGGCTGGCCCTGGGTGTGGCCAACGTCTCATCCTCTTTCACCTAGAGGGAGACCAGAGCAGGCAGTGACAGATAGAGATAGGCTTGCTGGGACGCCCATGGGGGAGTGGGGTCTGGCTTCAAAAGGAAAGAAAAAATAGCTGTGCCTTACATTTTTCTAGAGGTATATGCCTCTCTAAAAAGTTGATTTGGGGAAAGAAAGGAAGAGAAAGAAAATCTTGAGTTAAATATGTCAGTACTTATATAAAGTGCTTAGACTAGTGCCCAGTATAAAAACCGCATAATTGTGGGTTAAGTAAATAAAAGTCTTTATGGTATAAAGCAAATCAGGAGTCCAAACCTGGCAGGTACCGTGACTCTCAGGCAGACAAAACATGTTCCTGATCGCTGTGCGTGTGCACTCTTGCGAGATGGCCCTAAGTTAGAAGCTGTTTTTGATCAGAGGTGATCAGTTTTGCCTTGGAGGGTTCCTGTGAGAGTTAAGTGTGAAGAACAACAACAAAGATAAATTACTAGGCACTGGTCCCTTATTATGTTCCAGACACTGTGCTGTTTCACACTTTTTCTCCTTTAATTGTCACCATAACTATGGAAACTAGGCAGAACTATTCAAGATGAGGAAAGTGGAGCTCAGTAATCTATAGCTGACTGCTCAGATTCACAGGCCTGAGTAAGCAGGATCATCAGGTTTGCCTGGTCCAGAGTCAGACACTAACCATTGTACCACACTATCTCTCAGACAAGGTCTAAGGTCCAGTAAAGTGTTTGGTACACAATCGGCATAGAAAACATTTTTACAAGTATGTTTTCAAAGATTTATATATTTATGCATACAGAGCTGGGGTACAGGCTAGAGGTGCAGGGGCAGTGAGAGGATCCACTACAGGCAGAGTGGGGAGCAGAACAGACAGATCATTGAAGTACACTGCTGAGGGGAGCAGCGGGAGGGTCAGGAGAGGTCTGCCATGCCATGTGGGTCACCTCCTGGGCCGGGGATCGAACTCACACTGAAGCGACTGCTGCTCGCTTGCAGTGCTGCACTTTAGCCCACTGTGCCATGAGGGAGGGCCACAAGTATTTTTTTAATTTGATAATGTAGACATTTAAAAAGACCATTGTTTGAAGAATTTTGAAATAGATTATTCTTACTTAAAGATAAAAATGGAATTTTGAAATAGATTATTTGTACTTAAAGATAAAAATGGAATTTTGAAATAGATTATTTTTACTTAAAGATAAAAATGGGCACTAGTCTAAGCACTACTTGCAAACAGTAAAACGGGAGGGAAGTAGTTCATACATCTCAAGGGGTGAGGTTTTGTGACACAGTTACACTGATAGGCAGGGGTATGTGTACATGTGTATAAGCAGCTGCATTAGAGGCACATTCACATTCCGGGGTCCTGTTCATGAGGCAAGGCTGGTAGCTCCCGGGGGCCCACGGTTGCCACTCCTGCAAGAGAGTTAGCTACTCTCCTTGTAGCCCTTATGGAACCACCATGTTCTAGGCAGAAGAGTCAGCTGATTTCCCTGGCTGCCCTTCCCTACCTGAAAGGCTTACCTCCTGGGGGCCAGAAAGGTTAGAGCCCAGTCAGCCAAACATCACCTGTTACCTGGAGAATACAGGGTTGTGGTTTGGTTGTGCTCAATTTCTAGGGCACCTTATCTACTGATCACCAGACTGTCCCTCCTTCCCCTCACTCTCCCTGAAGCTGGGCCTCTAAGTAGGTACTCTGGAATTCCAGGACCAGCATATCCCCTAGGTGCAGAAAAGAGCAGGTGGCTGGGAGCAAAGGGATGCAGCAGGTGTGGTACACTGATGCCAAGCCAAGTTGCCAGAGCAGGCCAGGTGCCCAGGATCCCAGAGGAATGTCTTCCAGCCCTTAGATGCCAGCTCCATCAGAGGAGTTAGGAGAGGAATTCGGCTTCCGGCTCCCAGCCCCAGCAGAGTCCACAGCTTGTAAACCTACCTCTGGGCACCCAGCAGGGCGACCTCTGGTAGGCTATTCCCGAGTGGACTGAGGGGACAGGGGCTCGTTTATTGGTCAACGCTTGGTCTCCATAAACTCGGGAGGAGCCAAGAGAAGGGGAGGTGAAAGCTGACCTGCCTGTCAGTTGAGTAAAAGTTGCAGTGTTTTTGCCATGATAGACTTTTTCCAGAGGCGCATTTAAGATCCAGTGACTACCTCCAGATCTCCCTCCCTCCTGCCCTCTCTCCTCCCAGCGTCCCGCCCAGCACACGCTGACCAAGGGACACACCCTTTTGCATCGACGCAGACAGGGCGTTGTTCCGGTTAAAGGGGAACGCGGCAGCCTCCCCCAGGCCCCTTGCTTGGCGCGCAGTCCCTAAGTGCAGCAGTCTTTGGGGACGCTAGCAGCCCAGCGAACGCACCCGAGTTCTGTGCCCGAAGCCACTCAACTCTGAGGATTGAGGACATCTATCCCTTTGGGCTGTAAGTGTTTTGGTAGGGAACGTAGAGAAGATAGAGGAGAAGCGGGCATCTTCCTTCCATGGTGCCAGCAGGCGCGGAGCGCGCGCGGGTTTGGACTGACCAGATTCCTGTGCTTTCAGCCCTGGGCACCGGCTGACCTGCCACGGTTGGTCTTACAGTCTGCCTGCTGTAGTTCTTAACAAGCTTGTAGGGGGCTTGTAGGAATACTTGCGGGGTGTTTTATGGTTTGCAGCCTACATGGGGCGCGGGTGGTGGGTTTGGGATGTGGGGCTGGACTCGAGCAGTTTTCTCCTCTTTTGGAGAAGGGCGTATGGGGGACTCAAAGGCAAAGCAGTCCCTGCTTTGGACATTCTCGGTAGTCTCCCAATCCTGTCGACACTTCTCAAGTTCTAGCCAGATATCCAAGCATCCTCCTGTTGCTGCTCCCAGAATTAAGAGTCATTTGAGTTAAAGCTTCTGGGAGATACCAGAAAATGCTGCTTATTTCTTCTTGTACATTCTCAGGTTTCTTTGAATTTATTGGTTATGGATAGAAGCGGAGGGGCCTGGGATTGGGTATTTTAAAAACAGTAATTGAAATTATCCATGACTCTGTCCTGAAATGGACCCCAAAGGCGCAACTGGTCTTTGAAAGCCTTAGTTCCACAGTTCCACGGTGTCATGAGAGAGTAGGCGCACAGAACTCGGAGAAGTCCTGTTCGCTCTGAACTGCTGCAATCCTGCTGGGACTCAGCCCTTGAACCACCACCACCATCCTCCCTCCCCTGCTTCTCCTTCTCACCTTGCTTCTTTCTATCCTGGCTCCTGGGCCTTGTCACAGAGCGACCAGTCTGGACCAGGTCGCCTGCGAGCGCTGGATGGCTGGGGCGCAGCCGGCACCCGAAGGGCGAAAGTGCTGGAGGCTAGTCCGTTAGAGGTTGGCCCGCCCTCGGGGGCTGCTGGGGCTCACGCGGTGGTGGGAGGAAAGAGCAGGGTCCTGACCACTCTCTCCCGGTCTCCTTCCCACCCAGCTCCGCTCTGACTTTCCGGAGCCGCGGCCTCTGCTAGGCTGTGCTGGAGCCAGGGCGGCTCTCCTGCGCTGGCAGAACGGGTGGAAATTTGGAGACTAACGGAATGTGGGCGCACTGGGATCTGGGAAACTAGCTCCACCACACGTTCCGCTTCACAGCGCGGCGCTGGTGCCCCACAGCCTCTCTCAGAAATCTGGGCGACTATCTGCCTCCCCTTCCTCCACGCTGTAAAACAATTCCCCCTGTGAAGCAGTGCCTCGGCGAACGGACGTGCGCGCTCCTCCTTCTATCCCCTTCCTCGCGTAGGGCTGTCCCCAGAAGGTTTCCCACACGGGTGGAGACCTGCAGTGACTTCGGCTTGCCATTCTGGAAAAACCTCTCCTCCTGGGGTGACTTGACGTGCGTGCGTACCACTTGTTTTGTTCCAAAGAGAAGATGTTCCGTCACAAGCGGACCCAGCTGGCCGCTGGGCAGAGATCCTGCGATCGGCTGCTGCCCTCTCTCGGCGGGCCTCAGGGCAGCTAGAAGGCGCCCCCACCCGAGTAGGCGGGCGGGCGGGCGGGGTGCCGGCCCCGGCATTCCGCTAGTGCTGGGACCCTCCCTCCGCGCGCTCCTCCCTCCCGCGCTCGTCCTGGCCAGTTCGCGCGGCCTCCCGTCCAGCTTGGGCTCTCTCTCCCGCAGGCAAAAACTCCGCTGAGCCGAACGAACTGCCAGAATGCTCCTCCTGTTGCTGAGTATCATCATCCTCCACGTCGCGGTCCTGGTGCTGCTGCTGGTGTCCACGATCGTCAGCGTGAGTGCCGGGTGGACTGCGGGGCCGGCGGGGCTCACCCCGCGCGCCTGGGCCTCGGGGTGGTGGGGGCAGCTCGGTCTGTGCAACCTCTGGTTCAGCGGTGATGTTACTCGCTGATAAATAACAGCAAGTCTCAGGAGACCTGGGGCACTTTGCAGCTCCTGGCAAACCGCCTCTTTTAAGTTGTTTTGAGAAAACCAGAGCAGCTTCAGGGGTAGGAAGGAAGCAAGGCTGGACGAGGTCAGCGGCGCAGGCAGGCCTCTCGTTCAGCCAGACAATTTCAGGGCAGAGCCAGGGTTCCCGGACCTACGTTTGATGAGTGTTTAGCATTTCCCTTGGTCCAAGTTCTTTAAGGAAGGAAGTGGAGTATTTATGAAGTATTTTTTTCGCCAAATGTCTTAAGTCAGACGGCGGCTTAGCTCATTAAGCCCCCGTTAAGGACTTGAAATTCAAAGGTTAAAATGAGTTTTTCCGGAAAAGTGCTCACAGTCCCGGAGCCACTTTGAGATGTGGACACAGCACCTTCTTGGTTGAACCTCAGCCCCTCGGAACAGCTCATCAGAAAAATCGTTATGGCAAAACTAACAAGCACCAAGCAAGCACACATTAAAATTTAAACTTACTTTCTTAGCTATGAGAATGAGCACAGACTCGAGCAGTTACATGACTGCGGCTTTACGTTGTTAATATAATACAAATCCCAGGCATGGATTAGATTAAAAAATTAAAACAAAAAGCAACCTCGGCATGGTATTCCTGCCTATTTCAAAGGTTGAGAAAAAAATAGGTTGGGGATTTGTGACTTGGTTTATCATTTACAAACCTCTTCACGATGTCTTAGTTATACTCTGTGGTAATCTTTCTGGATTATAGGAATTGTAAGGAAATGGGTACAGAGAGGTGGTGGCTTGAGAGTGCCGCTCAGGAAAGGAGGGAGGACAGACAGCTTGCATGCGGGATCCTGGGTGGAGCCCCTGGCTCTCACCAGGCTGCATGCAGGGGTCCATACACCTTACGTGTGTCGGACGCTTTTCCGTTTGCAAAGAGCTGCTCACTGGAAAAATACTGGTCCACTGTCAACTCATTGGAGCAGACGGCCAGCTCTCTCCTTCCCTGCCCAGGAGGAGGCCTCTGTCTGCCACTGCAGGCAGGCAGAGGAGGGGCACACAGAGGGGCTGAGGAGCTGCCTGCGCCTTCCCCTCTTCGCCTTCACTCCTCACTACATGCGTGAGCTTGGTGTCTGTTTCTCTCTAGCAATGGACGGTGGGCCACCAACATTCGACCGACCTCTGGCAGAACTGTAGCACCACCTCGAGCAACATCTACCACTGTTTCTCAACATCAACAAACGGTGAGACTGGCGATTTACTCCACAAACGTGTACTTAGCTGTCTGTGTCATGTTTCTCAGTCTAGACACTTGTTTTCAGAAGACACGAACTGGACTGTGGTTGCTAGGGTGGGCCAGACTTTGACAGGCGGCCGTGACTCCAAGTTGCAGGGAGAGGGAACCATCTCCTTGGCTACGCCCAGATCCTGGGTGTCACTGTGCTGGCGGTCGCTGACTTAGTCCCACGTACGATTTCTCATCTTTATGATGGTGTAAAAGCAACAGTCAGTGGTTGGAATTTTGCTTTTCAAGTTTTGGTCTTTTCCTGCACCTAGGGCTCCCAGGCAGCCCTGCCATCAATAGGCAAGCAGCCTCTGCCATTCCCACTAGAGGGTGGAGGCATTGCTGACCTTGTCTCTGTAGCGTCCTCGTCCTCTAGCATCTAGTGTCAATTCAGTCCTTCACTTGTTCTCCTGGCCCAGAGTCTTCCAACCTTGTTAAGTTCATTCGACTGTTTTGTTACTCACTTTCAGGGCCATGTTCAATCAATAATAGGAAATAGCAACACTTTATCATGAGCTAGGCGCCGTGTTAGATGAATTTGCCCAACTGTAGGCAAATATAAGCATTCTGACACAGTACCTGACACAGGTAGCTTAGGATAAGCTAAGGTGTAGATTAGGTGTATTCAATGCATTTTTGACTTACGGTGTTTGCAATTTATGATTGAGACGTAACTCTATTGTAAAGTTAAGGAAGATCTGTACATTCTCTCTATCTAGAGAAATGCCCTACAGCTGCCTCCCTACCTCTCAATGTAATGTTTCTTGCCAGTAAAGGAATGTAGACAGAGATAAACTATACATGTGGCATCAGGGCTAAATCTTAGGCAGGTCCCTTTGGGACTTTTGATCTAGTTGGTGACTGTTTCTGTCTAGAAATGCCCTGAGTTTTTCTCTGCAATGATGCGGCAGTTACAGGGATAGTTGGGACAACTTTTGGGGTCCCAGCTACAGGACTGCTTTTCCTGGTCTTGAAGTGCTGCCGTTTAGTATCAACACCTTTAAGTGTTTACGCATTGCAAGATGCTACCTTGAAGCTATTTGCAGAACTCTAAGCTGAACCCTGAGAGGGTCCTTCATCCAGAAGATTGTATGTCTCCTGTCCTCAGCATCTTTGCTTGTGAGATATTGGAAACCAGGCATATTGGATTATAGTAAAGGGATTTCTTCGCAGCAGGAGCACACACGAGATACCTCCAGGACCCAGAGGGAAGAAGTGCTCAGCTGACAGCCTTGTGTCTTTGAGTGTGGGGAGGCAGAAGTAAATGGATGCATTCTTTTGGGAGTGCTTAGTGGCATCCTAGACCCTGGGTCCAGCTCAGCACAGTCTCATGTTTCAAAGGACTGCCTTTTATCCGAGAGGGAATGAGCTATGGATATGATAGAGCTTACCTGACACTCGTAGTTTAAAAGCTGTAACCAATAAAGCACAGATTTTGATATCGCTTCAGCTACTCACAGGTCCCATATTTCAGTGGATGATATTGCACCTGATGAGGGAAAACAGTTTAGATACAGCTCAATAAAGCAGGTAGTGAAGTGGCCTTGGCTTTGCACAATTCATTGTTGTTGTTTTTTCTGAATTCTCCCTCCTGTGGGCTGGGCATCCAAACAGTGCCTGAAGCATTACAAATGAAACCCCTTAAATCTCAGGACTAAGATAAACTGCCGAAATTATCATTTGATAATTGGCAAAGATAAGAGAATCTTGTTTTATGTTCCATTTTCCTGGTTGAAAAGTAAAGACCCCAGTTTTTATTGAAGGGAGCACTCCTTAGTCTTTTCTCTGAGTGTGTGAAGCATGTAGAATTAGAACTATCTAGGGATTGCATAGCGATTTTGCAACAAGAAAATGAAATACTCTAAGGTTGCAGAGAGCATTGCTGGTCCCCAAAGCCTCAGCATTTGGTGGCTCCTGGTCCAGGGTCTGGCAGAAATTCCCTGCAGACTCAGGCCTGGAGCCGACCTACTCAATACTGACACCTGGTGGTTCCAGGTGGCAGTTCAGCCTGAAATGAGGCTTTCCCAGAGGCCCTGCTTATGCACAGGCCAGGATCCCCCCGGGGCATTTGGCCCTGCGGTTTGGCTGGGATTCCTGGCTAGGCCCGGAAGGGGGCAGTTTTGGCAGGCAGACTAAGAATGGCTGGCTTTCAACAGAAGTGAGGTGGCGGAGAAACAGTTATCTAAGTTGTGCTCAAACTGTCTGCAGGAAGGAAGGCAGGGCTTGCCTCAGAGCGGGCAACTGACCTGTGCTACATCTTCCGCCCTTGTGAATAGCTGATTTTCCACACCAGTGGCATATCTCAAAGGGCAGGAGGATTATTTTGATCTGGAAACTTATTTTTCAACTGGCTCTTTGCAAGTTCATCTCCTTAGGTTCAAGGTCATCTGATGATGACTTTGAGGTCTTTGGCATGAGTTCCAAGTCCCTGATGAAGTTGCTTCCCATGGGGACCCCAGAGGCACCTTTCTCCACACCTGTCTTCTCAGCAATCTGAGTAAGGGTGTTTTGAGGAAACCTGGACAAGCCTGTGGACAAACTGGGTTTGTTTAGACTCGTGCCTTTTTAAAACTAAACTAATTTAGCTTCTCCAGGAGGAGTTAGCTCTGCGGACATCTTCTTGACCAGTCAACATGTGTCAGTGCTTTGCCTCCAAAGGAGTGGGTCCCCTGATCCACCTTTGCTATTTCTATTGGATTTAGCATTTTGTGACAATGAAGTGAAAAGAGATACAATTTTAAAAAATGGTATAGATTGTCTTAACAAAGAAACTATTCATTGCAAACCATTTACCTTGGTCTTACTTGCTTTTAGGATGTTTGAAACAGACTTTTTAAATAATCAAAGGAATTTGTTATTGATATCAGTTTGAGTAGAAGATACTGCTAGTGTGTTCGGTGAGAATACATTGGCTTATATGATTTGCTTTTCTCTGAGGCACTCATTTTCATGCCTCCAGGGCCCTGGCACCATGCCTCTCCAGGGGCTCCATTGGCATTGTTTTATGTGAGTGGGGCCCCTGGCCCCACTGACTGCATGGCAGGTGAGCATCTACATTATAATATAGCTAGAGAGCGGCATATCAGTTCTTTTTCCCAGGTTGACATTATGAATAGTTTTAGATGTCTTGCTAACTGCCCTGTACTCCTTCTCCCTTCCTGTTTATTTATTTGCTTACTTTCTGGCCCGTCCTGATACTGACTGTAGGTGAAGGAGGCTTAGGAGGGGCACATTGTCCATCACTCTGTGTTGCATGTCCCTGGGGCCCACGGATTGCAAAGACTGGAAAATAGGGATGCGTGCTTGAAGGCCCGGGGCCTCCCTGGGAGTCGGGAGATGTGCGGAAGGCTGAATCACTGTGAAGGCAGCCTGGGCCAGATGCCCACAGAGTGGGGGCAGGCAGGCAGCACTAGAGTTCAGGGGAAATGGAAGGGAAGTCTCATGTGGGAGGTGGAATTTGATCCATCCTCCAAAGGATGGATGGGTTTAAATAAATACAGGCAAGGAGGAGGATATTCCCCGTCAAGACAATGATGTGACCTGCAGCAAGGGGCAGCTCAGTGCAGGGGATGTGTCAGGCCAGTCGGCTGGTGTTCCGGTTAGGATTAGGGGTGACCGGGCGTAACCGAATATCCTCAAATGACTGAGGCTTAATGATGATAGTTGCTTGCTTTCTTTTAAAAAAGAAGTGGTAAGTAGGTATTGGGAGATAAGTTCGATGAAATTGTTAGATTTTTGAGTTAGTGTCATTGCCATCTCTGGGTTTGGTTTTTATCGTCTTGGATCCCAAGGCTGCTTGAGCTCCAGCCATCTCCATGCTTCAAACAATGGGGTCGAACGTGTCCCCTCCTGTTTAGTCAAATGTTCCTAGATAGACCCATATTTCTGTTTCTTTTACTGGAACTTAGCTACATAGCCACACCTAGTTACAAGGGAGGGTAAGAATGCAATCATTTTTAGAAGTGTTATATAGCAAACACCTCTTGTTAATTCTGGCCTGAAATACTTCTCTGAGAGACTTTGACTGCTCCCCTCTGTACCCAATTGCAGTCTTACAATAGCCATGCTGGGCCCTATATGCTATCAGACCAGGGCTCAATTATTTCAGAATTCTTCAAATAGTTGCCTGTGGTCTCCTGGCTCCAGCAACACCCTATGCTTGCAGCAAGCTTATCAGAAAGTAGAATCCTTAGTCTCTCTCTTTCTCTCCCTCCCCACCCCCAAACTCATTAACATTATGTTTGGTGATGTCTCTTGAGTGTTTCTTTCCTTCTGGTCCTGACACTTCTCCTGGACTCCAGACCTTGACATCCAGCTCCCTCCCAGGCAAGTCCGAGGGATATATCAAAGGTACCCTGAGCCAGTCAGCCTTCATCTGCCTCCCCAAAATCTATTCTTTTGACACTTTCTAGCATTTTAGTGAATGCTACTCTGCTAGCCAGTGAGCTGGACTTCTAGAATCTACCTTGCTATGTTTCCTTTTCTGGACCATCCTCGTTCCCAGCAGCCTTGGCTGTTTCTATACCTGTGATCTTTGTTAGTATCACGGCAGCTCCTGAGTCCTAACTTATTGAATTCCAGGTGATATTTAAATATATATATATAGATACATACATACATATGTATCTGGGGTACAGGCCAGAGATGCGGAGGGTAAGAGGATTCACGAGAGTCAGAGCGGGGAGCAGAAGAGGCAGATGGACGAAGTACACTGCTGAGGGGAGCAGCGGGTGGGTCAGGCGAGGTCTGCCACGCCATTTGGTCACCTCTGGGGCAGGCGGGAATCGAACTCATGAGGAAGTGGCTTTAGCTTCTTGGTGCTGTGCTTTAACCTGCTGCGCTACCAGGGAGGGCCTATAAACCTAATCTTATTACTCTCAACTTTAAACCTTTTAGAGGCTCCTCAGTGGTTTTAATCTTCAGATAAAATATTTCCAGAGGCATCTACCTGCACAATCT